ATAATAGTAAACTTTTGGAAACTATAATGACGTATGATTGTCATGAGTATTATTCTATTTTCCAAATAACATCAAAAGTTTACCATTAAATAGCGGATCCAGGTGACACAAGACGGAGTGAGTGTAGCTGCTTAGGGTAAAGCAGAGCGATATTGTAATATACGACTGAGGGATAATGCAAACGAAGGATATTTCCGTATGATAAATATTATGAATAGTCAGTTCGAACAGTTAAGGATTTTTATATAGGTAATATGATAAACTAAAATAAAACGATGTGATAAGATCTCATGAAAATTGCTTTCGAAAAGATATACGATAACTAATTTCTTAAAGCAGGTCTCCAATATATCCATCACTCTAACACCTAAACAGAAACAAAAGCAATCCCCCTCTCTCTCCATATATATTTTAGTCATTATTGCACTTCCTGTTTTGATTTCGCATTTTCCTTCCTCATATTCGATCCATCCTAACTCTATCCCGGTTGCTTGAAGTTGGGCCTCCTTTCAGGGCAAGAAGGGCATGATCTCTCCGAGCCAGATTTGGGGATGCGACACCGCGTTTGTTATTGGCTGTACCTGTGTGCTAATAAATATATTTATTTATATGCATACGCACACTTGGATATTTATACATTAGCGTATATCAATATATACGTATGCATGTGTTACAGTGTGGATATTTATTGCACACACATTCGCGCATCCCATTTGTTATTTCAAAAAGGGTGTACTGTTTTGTTTTATATCATTCTTTGTCAAAATATATTAAATATCATTAAATATATAAGAATTTAATTGCATAGTAATACACACATTTGTATATATAATACACACTTTTATATATAATTACAATAATAATAGTAATAATAACAAGCTGATAACAGGCTCAGTCTATTTCCATCGTAAGTCATCAGTAAAACTTATTTGGGACCACAAACGTCAATCCAACATTAAGATCATACTTTATAGGATCAATTCTATAGTGAGATTGCCGGGTTTCTCGCCAAGATTCTCGGAATATATTCAACCACGATGAGGACTTTGAGTGTGAGCCTCTGAGCGGAAGCGGTTCTTACGTTCTTCGTGAGAGCATTGATGACCGTTCTGGCTCGGTTCACGTGTCCAGAGGAGGCCCACACAGGCTGAGTGGTTGAATATAAATCCACCAGAATTGTTACTTTTGAAAACTCCAACACAGGAG